TACAGTGAAACCTCTATATAGTGGACAGCCACGGGGAATTAAAAATTGTCCACTATAGAGAGTTGTCCACTATTGAGAAAACCTTTACTTAGTGGACATTTTCAAAAATTACTAAATGTCCACTATAGGGAGACACTGTAGGAAATGGGCTATATGTACACTGTATACATATGAACATATACATTGGAATATTAATTTTCTAGAAATAAAATAATTTTTCTATTGTCCATCTCCATTTTTCTGTTAAAACACATTAGCCAATCTGTCATTAAATCTCGATTCATCCATGCCTTATGGTTAGCTTTCCAATTAACACCTAACGTTGATACATTTACACTTTTGAAACAACGTGGTTTTAGTGATTTTCCAATTCTTAACGGAGTTTCAAATTCCCCGATCATATTTACACATAGTAAAATAGTTAATCGATCTTTAGCTATTTTACCTCCACGACAAATTTCGTTTTTTAAACACAATGTTTTATCAGGAAGTGCTCGAAAAAATAGCGTAATATTTTTTCAAATTACACTTATCTTGTAAAATGTTATTCACCTATATTTTTCATTAAATTATTTTTAGATAAATTAAAACAAAATATGTACGTACATAATTAAATATTTAAATTTACCTGTGACTTGCTTATGCAAAATCGTTCTGCTAAAACACGAACACTTAGATTTTCTGTTTCCTTGGTTTTAAATATAAACGAATATATAACAGATAAATATAGTGTTTTTATTAAACGTTTTCGATATGTACATTTATTGTGTCCATTTATGAGAGGTAATTTTTAATTTGGTACCAGTTTATTGTGTCCACGTCCACTATTAAGAGTGTCCCCTACTAAGAGGTTATAACTCCTATTATGCGCATACATTTTTGCCGGGGAATTTAGAAGTGTCCACTATTGGGAAGGGTCCACTATTGAGAGGTGTCCATTAATAGAGGTTTCACTGTACTATTTGTCTCGCTCGGTGTTATTATATTATACATAATTAAAAATCTAATTACAAGATACAAGTTACAAACATTTAACTCAAAAATCACTTATACTAATTGCAGATTCCGTCTACATCTGATGAGTGGGAAAAGGAAACACAACGTTTTTATGAAAATTGGAATTTCCCTAACTGTATCGGGGCACTCGATGGTAAACATGTAGTGATGAAAGCACCAATGAATAGTGGAAGCCTTTACTTCAATTACAAAGGGACACACAGCATTGTATTAATGGCTCTTGTTGGTGCCGATTATAAATTTTTGTATGTTGATGTGGGATGTAACGGGTACCTAATGGCAATTAAGAAAATAAATTTTGAATGTAACTTACCGGTAAAATCTAGCATATTTGCTGACTAGACGTCTATTCTTCGTGTAGAACTACCTAGAAACATCGAAAAGACACAAAATCATGTACAAGAAACAACCACAGGCTTAAACTGTTCATTAGGTTCATTCCGGAAAAAAATAGAAACATAATTATAGCACATATTATAATTTTTGCGTTTTACGAAGAAACTAAACATAGAAGAACTGAAATAGCAGGTGAACCAACATAGATTTTTAAGATAACAGAGACAGCACTGTCTACATAAAAACTGAAAATTTAATTACGATTGGATACAGCAATTGGAGAAAAGTATGTTTTTTATTTGGTTATTTATTTATATAAATTAAAAATAATTATTGTTTAATTATTGCATTACAACATATTGAACAAAAGTAGGTAGGTGCAATATGACAATTGATAAAAACTATAATATGTAGGTACATATATTATTTAATATTTATATATTAATTCATTATTTTAGTTGAATGAAAAATTGTTAAAAACATTCAAAAACTGTTCAACATTTAACATCAACTACCTATTCAGCATGATAGCTATAAACGTTCAAAATTGACTTGTAGTTTGTACTATAGTTACTATCAACTGCTAAAAAGAATGAAGTTTTAAAAAGTAGAAAATATATATAGTTTTTATACATATAACCCTCTTTAGTGCTAACCAAGGACTTGCTCTAAGACGTCATGATGAACAGTCATCAACAGTTTCTAATACAGGTTGGAATGAGGAAGATATGTTTTTATTTTAGTATAGGTACTACTACTATCCCTTATGGTAGGTATTAAAATTTGTGAATCCTAAATTATTTATCAATTACAAAAAATTAATTTTAAGTGACTTTATATGGTCCACATCAAGTATGATTTTTTTTTTGTTTCTGTTTTTAAAAACAATTGGACTATCCTGTGTGTACACTGTACGGCATTATGGTATTTGTTTTGTTTTAGAGGTTGAGTGTTTACTTGTTTACATATAGGCAAATAATGATATTAGAACCATTGGGTCACAAAAATCGGAGCTTAACTGCTTAAGCACCCCCTAGTTCAAATGTCTAGTTGCGCCACTGAGTAAGGCTATAGAGTGCAAAATAGGTACCTATAATACCCGTTAAAAAAATTGTATGTATATAATAATAATAATAATAATAATTTATTGTAGAGGAAGATTAAAAAATAAATAATAACGCCCTTTAGGGCAAAGAGTACAGATATACCTACAAAGTAAATATAGGTAGCATAAAGTAGGAATTTTAGTAGATCTCGATTAATTACATATTAAATTGAAACACATACGAACATAAGTGTTAAACATATAAATATATAATCACAATAAGTAAAACATCATAAGTGAATAATTAGAATATTTTTTAACTTGCTTGGTGGATCAAAAAAAAAGTCAAAGTAATGTCTTTAATATTTTTAAATAGTTGTTATGTAAACGTAAAAGAAACCTTGTATTACACTATAAAGTTTTTTTTATCTATCGAAAAAATTGTTATAGACATTAATAAGGTGTAGAAAAAAAAATCAAATTTTTTTTTTAAATTTCACGTCTATTAAAAACGTAGTTTTTTAATTTTTATTTAAAGCTACTAGTATAAAACTATGATAACTTAACAATTTAAAATGAGTTAAAATATTTTGAAATTGCATCATAAAATTATAAAATAAACATTTGGTGTAAATTTCAAGGAACTATTTACGGATTATGGTTATTCGTTTTTTAATTGCAACAAAGTAAAGAAATCGTTAAGAGGATGTCGGCGCAACAGATAAAACGCTTTCACCTAAAATAACTTTTTATGATTTTCGAGTAACCTTAGAGTAAAATCACCTCTTATTATGTGACTTGGTATTCGACTTACAAAATAAAAAATAAAATAGTAAATTTAAATCATATTTAAACCGTTTTGAGACAATATTTAGACAAATCGATATGTCATTACCTCAAAAATATTTTTTTACATCGATTTTGCAATGGGTGATGCTACTCTAAGATTACTTGAAATTACAAAAAAAAAAAATGATTTTTCATAAATAGGTTTTGCTTATGTCCATACGTGGGCCAGAGAGAGAGAAAACAAACGGTGTGTTGGCATCCTCTTTTAGGTACATACCAATGTCGTAAAAATCTAACTTCAAACGTTGATAAAAAGTAATTTGACTTCCCAGTAAACGTTTTTTTTTGTTTATGCATTTTTAACTCCAATGCAGAATTTGCAAATGTTTGTGATTTTGACGAATTTTGTCAAAATTCTAACTGCAGGCACTCATTCAAAATTGTTGTGAAGTTACGCTCAACTTTAAGTTATCTAGGGATAACTATTAAATATTAATGTATAATAAAAGTATTGGTATTTACAATTTACAATCTATTTTCTATCATTGGTCATAAGAACTTTAAATACTTATTTTTATTTATTATTAGCTATGTATCTACCAGCCCCCAGGCCAGATATCGTTCCACATTTTTATTGAATATATCCCTCAAGTTTTTCCGATTTTTAGCAGATAAATGACTACATAAATGTGAAATACATAGAATATATTTTACAGACAATTCGTCGTTACAACCATAATATATTAAAATATTTTTTAGATTCTGAGCGTTGAATGTATTGATTTTATAATGATGTGCATATGTGATTTTTTTTTTGTCAGTTGATAATCATATTTTGGAGCAGAAAAAAATGAAAAAATGCTTTGATTTTCTACTAGTCTCTTTTCAGGTAGGAATATCAATTTAATTAGTACTTTTTTTGGAAGAGGGAGGGTCAAAAGTTGAAGATTCTCAATAGTTTTTAAAAGCTTGGGGAAAAAAAAATCAGAAATTTGAAGGCAAAACCAGTTTTTGATAAATTTGATTTCGTTTTTTGGTGTTATTCAAAAAGCAACTTAAATTTTCACTTTAAATGTATGAAAATATTTTGACTCTTTTTGAGCTATTTGTAGACATGAGACATTTTCGATTTTTATTTGTTTGTTTTTAAATATTGTCAATACAATTTTTTTTATTAAATTTAACTCAAGGTTCTTCATATAAGTTGGTGTCAAAGCAATTCAAAAATATTAAAGACAAATTGGTATAGCTAACCAATAGATATTTTAAGTTTAAATTTGGATGAAATTAGATTTTAAAAAAGATTAAAAATGTTTGCAGTGTCTGTGCCAAAAAATATTTCAACCTACTGTATTAACTACTAATAGTAAATTAAATGACTTCAATAGAAACAGAACCATACAAATATATACTTAATAACAAGGCTGACAAACCGTCTTCACTTTGTATTTCATTGAATTCAAATTGAACACATCCATTACAGTGATCCAACCCATATGACACCTAATAAACAGCAGAGTACTTGCCCACCTTTTTTTTTCATTGAGATAAAAAAAAAAGTTAATGTGGTTAATTTAAGGAAAGATTTGAGAAAATGAATGTGGGATTACTCAAACCTATAACCTTTTTTGTCTTTAAAGCTAATGCTCTTAAATACTTTTTTGTTGTGATGGCCAAGTTGACTAATTATTTTCTTTGTGAAGTTAATATAAAACAATTTAAGTTAAGTTTTTTTTTTAGTATTTTTAAATAGTATTAGGAAAATACATTAATAACTGTTAATATAAAATGAGGATATACATAGGCGTCACTAAGGGATTTCGAGGAATACTTTTGCTACTCAATAAATATTATTAGGGTAGCAAAACAACCACAAAATTATATTCAATATTTATTATTTAAGAAAATGATTTGTTGTAATTATTGTGAGATGTAACTTAAAGTATGATGTAAAAATATCATAGTTAGAAGAATTTTTGATTGTTAAAATATATACTATATTCTAATAATACATCCAAATTCAGTAAAAATAGTAATACTAAATATATACAAAATATATGTCATAAAATTACAGATACAATTTTTTGCTATACCCAGAATTTGGACTAGTAACGCCAATGAGTACACAAACACGTATGGCAGCAGTTGTTAAAATTTAATGGCAAGCGACCTTTGTAAAAGTAATCTTTGGAGCCACTAGCCCTTGTGTTGTGGACCCCTGACATGAATGTTTCATTGTTGAAGATCCCTAGGGAGCCATGTACCACAGGTTAAGAACTGTTAGTACATGGAATACAGACAACTAGGTAAATATTAGTTATAATTTTCTTTTCTCAATAATGAATACATCTATCACTGTTCAGTTTAATATTTATTATCTCTATACATATATATAATTTTTGGCGAATATGCAATTACACAATATTATTATAATTTATTATTAAATAGTATTTACTATTTAGTATTATTTACTTATAACTTATTACTATACATTCATGACTAAGTTTATAGGTATTTCAGCAACATTGTGATACCCATATCTTTCAATTTTTACCATGTGTTAATTTCTGCCTCTTACTGGTGACATAGTATATCAAAGCATCAAGAGCATAGAACTTAAAACAAATAGTGTGGGTGCGCATACAAGATTCAAATTTGTATTTTTGCTGCTGACATACCTTGTATTTTGTCATCTATACAGTATTACAGTATACATTATTTTGATTACTATTGAGTCTAGAAATAGTGGGAACTTTTTTTCAGTGGATGCCTCAAAAGGGCTTCTTTTGTTTAGGATTTATATGACATACTGTTAGCAGAAAAACAATCTTGTAAATAATTGTTGATCAAAGGTTTTATTTTGTTTTCAGCAATGGTAGAATGAACAATGATGAGAAACTGCAATCCTGGGCTACATAACACTAAAGAAAAAAAGTATAAAATCAATTAGGTATACATACTACATGTTACTTAATTTATAAAAAAATATTCAAAAGAAATTAGGAAACATGCTTTATAGTTTTTAGCTAATTTATAGATATTATTTTAATTATTCATTAGTTTTTGCAAAGGCTGGGCTGGTTAACATTTTTTTCAAACTCCTTAAGCTAAGCTAATATTAGACAAATGCAAGTTAAAAGTTTAAGTTAAAAGTTAAATGTTACTTTTTTTTTTATTTGTATAAGATAAAAGAGAATAAAAGTAACAATGACTCAGTCAAAAATCAGTTACTTTTTTATATATATAGTTAATAACTATATCTTTTTTTTAAAAAAGCTAGCAAATAACAATACATTCAGGTCTTACAATTTTACAAAAAATGTAGGTATTAAAATAAATTGCTATAAGTACTTATATAGTTTAATCGTTATAATCAATCGGTTAGGCAAAATCCAACAAAAAATAAAATTATTTGTATTTATTTGTTTACCTAAAGGTCAACAACTACTATACTAAATTATAATAATCAAATTTATTACCTACATACATCAAATATTATCCAATTCAGTTATAATTCTATGAACGGATACAAATATAATAAGAAAAAACTATAAATTAATAATAGTTGATGAGTATATAAAGTGTATGGATACTGAGTAAATATTTATATTTTCTTTTCTCAGTGAAAAGATTACCCCTTTAACTACTCTGTTCTTAATATATTATATTCTTTGAAAATGCAATATTATAACCCTTATTATAAATAATTATTTATTACTTATCAGTTATTATATTTATAAATAATGTTTAGTTTTATGAAAAAATAATACTAATTGTAAATATCAAACATTTTTACAAAATAGAATATATTTTTAATCTATGGTTGTAAGAACAAAATTAATTTATTCAAAAGTTACTTTATAGTATGGAAAAAAATGTAACACATAATCTAGAAGTTACTTCTAAGAAAAAAAAAATTACTTGTCAATGCCCAGCCTTGATTATTCCTACTTATTATATGTAAAAAATATTGATTCAAAACATTAAACAATATTATATGAAATAAATCTAAATCATAAAAAACATGAAATACTGACATAAACAACTGAGATAATTTCTACACTAAGGATTTTTGGGGCAGCATTTCATGTACCCACAAGTGTCTACACACATAGAAAAATATTTTAGGTTTTAAAATACACAAAATATTAATTGTATGTTTTTTTTTCTGTGGGTCCAATATTTATATAATATTTTACTTAATGAAAATTACAAAACTACTAGCAAGTTCCATCGCAACAGCTGTGGTAATTGTTATGGCACTTCTGAGTGAAATGTCTAGACAGAGGTCTGTCTACAGCTTTGTTGGTTCATAGCTAAATATCTTAACAATTCTGGTGACGTCGGTACATATCTGTAAATTGTATACAAACAGTTAGTATTTATTATGATTAACATTTATGGCTGCATACAAATTACTTATGTCCATCTATGTCCCAGTCACATTTATATTTTAATATACATGATTATTGATATATTATAATCGTTAGTAACTTGATGTTTAAGACCATACAAATAATTTTATCATATTATATTTCTATTTAGTATCAATATTAATTCTAATATTAGTTTATTATTATTAATATTATAGTGCAAATTATTTAAAATGAAATGCAAATAAAATAACTTTATTATTATTCTATACACTATCAATAGTTAATTGAACAACCCACTAATTTTAATGTTACTGTCATAAAATAAATATTTTCTTGTATAATTAACTTGGAAAATAAAAATGTTTATTTAATTAATCATGATGCAGATGTACCTGCATCATGTACCTGTGTTATTAATATTGATACATTTAGAAATTGTATTGCATTTTTATAGTTAATAGTTTAGTCAGTACTGTTATAATTATTAATTTACTGTATTTTTACACTTCATGAAATCCTACTATATTCTAAATAAAAAAAAGTATTGAATTTATTTTAAACAAATTAAACCAACGAAATCTGGTTAAAAAAAATGACAAATCATGTTTACTATTAAAATAAAATAAAGTGAAATTATACTTTACTTAAGTGTTCTTGCATGTCTTTTCTGAATCTTCGACACAACTTGATGTTACAAGTAATGTATTTGGCAATACCTACCATCATTGCTCTCCAAAAAATCACATTTATCTGTTTAAGTTCGGCATTGGATAAAAATCTATATGCATATAATATGAAGTTTAAACATAGTTAATTGTTATAGCTATATCTATTACAGCAATAGTTTTAATATAAAAAGTATAATGGTACCTAAATACTTGTACTCCAGGTGAGGTCATTTTTGTTTCTGTATATCACTTGATCATTGTTACGGACCTAAAATACATTTTATATACATGTAAATAATAATAAATTTTCCGGTTATTAAGAATTTAGATCTTCATACATACTGTCAAATTTTAGAGTAGAAAGTTACTGCTTTATAGTTACATTACATTTGTCACATTTCAAGAATCCTCGAAGTGGTAGTATTTGTAGGAACAATGACTGGTACAGCACCACCTCACGATTGATTTATATTTGCATTGCATTATCAACGAGTGTGATTGACAAAAGTATAATTAAGCGCTGTATAACAAAGAATTAAATATTATGAACTTAAAAGTTAAAGGATAGTTAAAATGCACTACTATTGAGCATTACTCACATTTGAATAATTTAAGAGGTACTTAGTCAAAACTCAAAAGTCAGTGAATATAGCTCCGTGCCTCCCCATTTTAAATATGTAGTCAACTACCTTCTATAAATGACAAACTTACAGTAATTGATATTCTCAGAGATGTTTTGACGAGTGCCAAGACTAGAGGTAACTCGACGCTAGGTACAATTTGAAATTTTGAAATTTGAAAACAGCCTCCCGTCATAGATAATAAAAACTTTATTATCTTTGCCGACTGTCTAATTCTGATAAGACAGGTAACCAGTAACCACTATACTGCATGTTCTATTGCCTATAAATATCTTAAAAGGGGTTTTAATAAACATATTTATTTTTCAGATATAATTCAAGATTCAAGATGGATAAACAATTGGATAATTATTATTTTCGAGATTATACTATTAAATATTAATTATACCAGTAAATAGCTTACCTGCATGGCATTGTAACCTACAGATTAAATGCTCAAAGATTTACCATGGATTTACCGCTTCTCAAACAATTAATGTAAGCTGCACAGATTTTTAACATAGTTTTTTTTTTGTTTTTTTTAAGTATTACAAAATTATTGCAATAAAAAAACCAAATACAAATATTAAATAGCGAAACTAATACTATATTAATACTATTAATTATAACGCAGTTACTTGGGTTGTTTTGATAAAGCATAAAGTACAGCCAATACAGGTGTAAAATTATATCCATTCATAATAACTAAAATATATAGCTGATTAAATATTGTACCCGTCCACCGTTGCTAAGTATCTGAAAAACAATATTGACCGACAATTTTTATTTTGTGTAATATATTACATTTATTTTTTATTAATACTAAGCTAATAGGTTTAATTTATGAAATATGCATTTTATATTATGAGATGAGTGATTTTACAATGTATAGTTTTTCTATGAAATTTTAATGTATTTTATTTTTGTGTCTATACACGTGAAGAAATTCATCAAAATCACGACAATTTAGTAATTATTATGTTCTTTTGTAGTTAGAAATACATAAAAATTGTTCTTTTTAGTACGAACCCAGATAAAAACGTATTGTAATAAAAATAATTTTTTTTTATAAAATATGAATACTAGTGATTAACTAAAACTGTAGTTTATAGCCGATTTTAAAAACCGAAGACTTTTATTTTGGTTATTAGAACAGGTGGGCGGTGAGCAAAACCGCTTATTTAAAAACTAGAACAGCGAAATTTGTTCTTCACGATTAATGATAATAATAAAATATAATATTGTATTACAATTTATTATGCGTGGTCTAAGGTCTTAATTTGTATTGAGGAAAGTAAAAAAGTTAATTTTTAAATTAAATATTTTTCAAAGCACACAGGGTGGGCCTCTAATATTATATTTCTACCAAGATTTTAAACACTTAAAATAATAACGTTTAGAGGGTGTGGAGACGGCGTGAATACCCCGAAAAAAGAGTTTGTCTAATACGTTCGACACTTGATAGGTACAGTACTATAGTATAATAAACATTTCTCACCTTTTCGTTTAATTTGAAAACTATGTCGCAATCATGATTTCTCTTTTTCGAGTACAGGCACAAAGTTGTGTGATTAAATGACCATTATTGCCTAATGGTCTATTGAACATGGCGTTTGAAGAAGATTCGACAGAAAAATCATAATTATTTTAATATAGATTTTAAAGGAAAAAAAAATAAGTAAAATTCATTTTAAATGTTTATAATTTAAAGGAATACAGGTATCCCCTAAATTGTTGGGGGTCAAGTGTAAGTGCCTCTGTAAATTAAATGAATACTTGCATAAATCTGAGTCTGCGTTTACCTTTGATATAATAGACGGTCGTTTAATATTGTTTAGTTATATTGGTGATGAATGACTGTATACTACCACCCAGGTTTAATCTTCTATACAGTTTTGACGAATAACAACAAACCTTATGTAAAGAATTTTTATTTTCATGATTAATGTCGATTTTTCCACTTCGTCGGCCGAGACAATATCATAACGTTTTAAGCATCCCAGTCTATTGTTCACACTATAAAAGGAACTTATATTAGTGGGACGATTCGTTTTTGTTTTTGCGTAGGTACTGATACATAATATTCCCTCGGTAAACTGAAAATAAATGCATATCTACCCACTATATAAAGTTGCGCATTACTTACACACGTCACTCACAACAGTACGATACACTACAATACACTATAGTATACAATCGTCAATTGTAGGTATTAACCAACATACTTTAATATATGGAGTAGGTCGATTGCAATATTTTTGATGGTTTAATATTTTATTGTGTGCTACACAGATGAGTGCGTGATCTCCAAATTTTTGTTTTTTTCCACAAGTTCAAACACGTCTCCATTTCGTCGAAGAATGTGTGTTGTTAACAGCTTGACCTGTCGCTTTCCAGTTGCCAAAGTCTGATCGTTAAGTTGGTATTTCATTTTAAACCATCTAAACAGCATGATTAGTCGATAATTCTATATTATTAACAACGCGACAAATGACTAGATTACTCTTAAAATGTACAAACGATATTCTTTTATGCCCAAGCTACTCTGATCAGAGTAGGTTACGATTATAGTTTATATTTTTCAAAAATGTCAGTTCACTAGATATTTAATATTCAGAAAACATCCTTTTTGTTTTTTTTTATTCAATTTTGGTTCGATCAATATTTAAAATTGACATTTTGAAACATTTAATGAATATATAGGTTTAAAATAATTTGATTTAACTCTTTCGGATAGTGTTAAATCATTTTATGCTCGTGTAGCTAATTAAATATACATTTACTTGGTATGTATAAATTTGTGCTCTGGAATTAAATTTAAATTAAATTTTAAACTGGTATGAACAAATTAAACAATGTGTTAATAATTATAAATTATTGAACCAATAAATATAATAAAAATATTCTGCGAAATTTGTTATCTCCTGCAGATGTAGGTAGATTTATGTCGTGTAAACATATTTATTCTTTATTATGCTTTTAAGTTCTAAAAAAATATACCGATTATTGTCACTAGTAATATAAAACAATTTATGAGTATTTTTTTTTCATATTTTCACACTGCATATAAGTTAGTAAAACATCTATTATATTTTACTTTATAACCATACATTTATAAATATATAACTATTATAATCTATTCAACTGAATAGATTTAAAATGATGGTTGAGTCTTGTAGGTATACTCAATTAGGTTTTCACCAATATTTAAGATAAAACATTGGTAAAATAGTATATTGTTATTATTCACAGCTGTTCATTATTATGCCATTATCATTATGGTTACAATTTCCCAAACAATAACATAAAAATATAACAGTGTACATTATTTTATTTACATAACACAAAACAATCAAACATAAAATAATAATAAAAATGTACATAATATTTAGTCTATAAACTTTGGGTGTTTTAATATTTTCCCTTTAATTAAATTCCAATATTTGTATTAGTATCAGTATAAATAATGTATTAAAGTGTATTCTGTTAAACAAATACGTAAAAATAAAAATGAAATACATACTACATACAATATAAATAACAATGACCACTATTATATTAGCTTCTAAAGGTCGAAACAATAATAATCTATCTAATAAACGACTATTATAGTGAATAATTTGCAATAAAAACGTAGGTACGTAAAATATAATATTATTTAAAATATCATTTTGGTTAACGAAAACAATTCCAAAATTAGTAAATTTAAACGATATCTAAAACTTTAGAAATATTGAGCAAATGAGTAAAATATATAATGAAAATACAAATTGTCACGAATATTTGGTTCTGGTTATGACTTTAATATTGTTATCGAGCCTATAACTGTGTATAAACACAAACGAAAAATAAATAAATAGGACATCTAAATTAAAAAAAATTATTACACCTATAATGAGCATCAGCAGGTGTTAGTCAGTGTTTCAATTAAAACAGAAACACAGAAAACAGAACTGATTGCCAACAAAAAGTTTTGTTGAGCGCCAATTGGTGTATAATGCTGTAATTCGATTTAAATTTAGCGATCTCCAACAAAAGGAAATTGACGAATTCAATACACAAATCGTAATAATCAGAAACAGAGTACATATTTTGGTTTCGTGATTTTGATCTGAAAATTATTTTTATAAAAAATCAAGGAACAAGAGCAAATTGCACGAGCGTATGACAAATATTCAAAGTCTTATTTTAGTATTTGGACATGCCATATCATAAACTGCTGTCGCCAATTTATAGTTCAAATGATGATAAGCCACAGGGTATGGAAACCTTAGAAAATAATTGACCTTAATGTAACGTCTTTGGGGCTCTGATGCGATAAAAAATAAAACCATCTACTACACAAGGGCTATAATATATAATATTATTACGATTTCGAACCATTTGATAATAATTGAGTAAAATGTTAGTGTGCTTAGTGATAAGTCTGTTGGAACTATGCTCTAATTTTCCGCAGGTTGTCTCTACCGCCGAAAGATCTGATTGACTCGAGTAGATTTTCCCTGGGATCGACTTTCGTTGAAATTTCCCTGGGTTTCCTGGACCGGCCCATTAGCTTGCCAAAAGTGTACGAGCTGTCAGCGGACGATTTCTTTTCCAACGGTCGTAATATTACGTTGTCGTCATTTTCACCGGTCAACACGATCGTACTGCCGTGGTAACTGTAGCCATTGCTGAGTTTGGCTTGAGCTTTGATCGCTTCGGACAGGGCCAACACCGGGCTGGCCGTTTGCAATTGTTCGGCGTAAGGTTTCTTCAGTTCGACCGACTTTACTATCGGCACCCTGGACACGGGCTTGTTGTTGGAGTGGTCCTCGTCCAACGACTTGTTCGTGTCTGCATCGTCAGCCTTTCGCTGTAACCTTTGTCTAATGCCAATAACGTAGTCCCGGTCGGTTTTGATGCTCACCTGCCTTTTGGGACGTTCGTTCCACGTGGATAGACTGATTTTTGGGGGGCCCGTGTACAAATACTTCTTCACCTTTTCCTCTTTATTGACTGGTACCTGGACTTCAGGCTTGTCATCACGAAATTCACGTAGTAAATTTAACGTCTTGCCTTCACTTGGCTCTTCTTGGAGTTTATTTTTCGATTGTACGTGTTTTACTACGGTAGTTGACGTTTCTGCTGTCACAGGTTTCTGTTCACACATAACTTCTTGACACTTGGGTTCCAGAAAAGCCACCCTCGTTCGCAATTCATCGAATTCCGTTGTTTCTATTTTTGGTGCT